GTTACTACAATAGCGTGTGAACAAAACCATTAAGGAATAAGTTGAAAATAATGAGAAAAACACATTTATGTGCAGAAATTGTGAAATTCCTACGGGACCGCAGTGTCAAGAAAAAAAATTATTTCATGGGCTCTTGCACTCTGGGAAAATTACCATTTTTTAACCTGGAATTCCGGCAGAATCCTTCATTAATGAATCGATTAATTATCTGATATTTCAATTCATCGCCAATCAAATTATAATTGAGTTTAAACTCAAAATCGAATTAAATAAAATAATACACTTGCAAATCCCTCAGGTTCCCCCAATATTTTTTACTGTAGAATGCCATATGGAAAAATTAAAACTTCTGATAAATAATTCCCTGTAATCCTTAGAAATGGGTTCCCCTGTGGTGGCAATTTGTGCCTAAAAAAACGCCAAATTCTGGCAATTCAGATGGAAATATCGGTATTCCGATGAATGCAAATAATATTCGGCAATCCCCCGTGAATTTCGTACACTCGTGCGTGAAAATTCAATCGAGCGTTTCACCGTAATCCGAAAGCTGGTGGTAAATTGTGTCGACCTTTTGTATTAAGCCGGTGAAAATATTCTCACCACAGGGGTGGGTTGTGTGGAAACAGTATTAGGGTCACACCTCCACCCCTTATTCAACCATTGTAACACGTATTCCACATTCTGTAATGATTCCATACTCCACGATAAAAATTCATAGCGTGCCAATGAGACTCACTGGGTTGAACCACCTCTTAAACTCTCGGATCGTTTGTCATTGCAATTTCACTTGCGTGCAAGCGTAAATTTTCCCGATGCACATTATTCTGACTATTTTTAAACATATCCCTGAAAGCACAGGGTAAAAATCAATCTTATTCGACTATAAATACAGGGGCGCGAGGAATTAATGAAGACATTATAAATTTAATTTGCCCTCAATTGGTGATTGTGAAATAATTGTCACCTGTCGTGGGAGCTGATTTAATCGAGCATTAAGTTTCGCGTTCGATTTTTATTCAATTTTCCACGAAAAATTGAATCCGATCGATTCGATTATCAGTGACTGCCCATTCAATTTATTTCGTTTATTTTTGAGTGATTTCCATTAGGGGAATGGAAAATAGAAAAATATTAGAGAAAGGTTTTGCGAGGGTGCGAGCGTTTTTTCAAGGCGATACCACCGGTTGGTGATCGGTCGGGCTGATATCAGCTCAAACGGGATCGCGTGATCGCCGATGGTATTTCTTTTCGTTATATTTGTGAAGTTTTTCTAAAAGGTAATGGTAATGAGCTCCCGGAACTCGACTGTCTTTAGCTAAATTCCTAGGTCGATTAATAAGTGAATGAAATAAAAAATTGGGGTCTGACACGTGAATGAAAGCCGTGAGTTCTTGGAAATGTTTATTGTAGTTCAATTCCACGCTGAAGTTTTCAAGGAATTTTATTATTCTAGAAGCCGATGAACATTTTTTTTTGAATTCAGACCTAAAAAGAATCGGGAGTTCCCATTCACTCCTCCAAAAATGACCATAAATTTCCAAAAATTTCCGAAAATTCTATCGGAAATTTACGTGAATTCAGTAATTGAAGAATTTTTGGTCGTCGTGTAGTAAAAAAATTTAGAATACCACTGAATTCACGTGGTTCTTCTTGTCCTGAAAGTCCGCAATCAATTGTCAATTATTGTTGCAGTTGGAGAACTACTTGTTCGATGAAGTTCTTGAAAATTGAGACGACATTGTGTAATCGTTAATCATCATTAATTTTTTTTAAATCCACGATATTCGAAAAATTGAGGTCAAATGTTTGCAATCTCATCTCGCCACGAGTCCATGCATGTCGTTGATACAAAAGCCGTCGTGATTGAGGAAAAGATAAGTCTCGAGACTTGTCTCTTCATGGCCTTCAATCTGTACTTGACTCATTAGAGAGTCTTGTCTGAAAGACTCATCTTCATAAATCCGCAGCGAGATGGAATTCGTCTCACCCCCCGGGGGCTTTCATCCCCTCCGGTAAAATGCAATTATGTGTTTTTCTGTTGAAAAAGGGAAATATAGATGACAAGGACACAATGTCAATGTCGTCGACCGGTCGATCGAGTTAGCTTTGACCTTGACCCTGACTACTCGATATACCATCAGCCCAGTGTCCATGCATTTCTGCTACTGCTCAGAATTTTCCCTCAACTTTACCACCCAAGTATCGAAAATTTCGCACGCCTTTCAATTTTTCATTCAAGTCCAGAAAATCGTGTCATCCGAAATCCGGAATTTCCCGGTAAAATCGACTAGAATTGGAAATTCCAGTTCCATTTCTCCAGAAATCACGAGAAAATTTCGGAAATCGTCTCAAATCTTGAGGTCAATAATAAAAATACGATTTAGCTAGGAAACAGGAAAAAAATATGAAATTTTTTATTTTACTCAGAATTTAATGATATTCGATGGGAAATTTTAATGAATTCAGGGATTCTCGGTGTCACTTCCTTTAAAACCTTGGAATTCCACGGAATTCTCGTGATTTCTGCCCCCGTCTTGAAAATCCATTGTCAATTGCACACGAAATTCCACGTTTTATGCATTTCGCAGACATGGATTTTTCTGAAAGTTTCTTATTTTGGAAATTATTATTCTTCAAGTTAGAGGCCTAGTATTTCGATCGAGTTCCACTCCCGTTCGTGTTTGAAGCCTATACTTCCTGGTATTACCGTAGATACCGTGAAACTACCGACAAATTGAAACTACAAATATCCACGAAGTTCAAGCTAATCGAAAATTCATTAAAAACTTGTAGGTACCGGATAGTTTCCCCGACGAGAAACTCAAAGAGAAAATAAAACATTAAAAATAACTACTTTTTCTGTTCGATAATAAATTTAGACATCTTGAATTTGTACTTTTACTTTCCTTACTAAAAAAATCTGTTACAACTTTTGATTGAAAATTTTTTTGATTCTCAATTTCAAATAAATTTTCTTAACGAAAAAATTTTCCTACAATCGACTATTCGCTGGATTAATTTTTGGGTGCATTTGGAATAAATAAAGAAACAATTGATGTCCCTTTAAAATACGGCACATGAAAATAGTCAAAGCCATTGTAATTCGATACAATAAACGTACGATCTGACGCAACGCCAATAATCCGCATGTAATGCTGATGACAGTGAAAAAAAGTTCCGTGAATTCCCCCGTCACTCGAAAAATCAGGTGATGCCAAAATCACACGAGTCTCGAGTATCGAAATTTTTTTCATCCGTCAACATTTTCTGCCGCCGGAAAATTCTGGATGCACGATAAAAAAAAATGTTAACACATGCATCTTGCGTCATTTTCGGATCACCCCATCTATTTTCTGTTTTTCAATATTCCTATACGCCCACACCGGGACAAAAATTAACTTCTGCCAATTTAAATATAGATTTTATGCTAGCAACTCACACTAAAATTTTCTATTATCACATTGTAATTGATAAATTAGTCAATTATTTTGAATATTGAATGGAATTCAATTTGAGACGAGAATTTAAACAGAAATTTTGTCCTGAAAATTTCACAGTTTTGTAAACTCTAACGAGAATTTTTAATTGTGCCTTCATAATTAATAAATCAATGAATTATTTCGACAATTGAGCAGAATAAAATTTTTGAAGAATTCCAAAAAAATCATGGGAATGTTTTCCAATGTTTGAATTTATTGCCGCAATGCGTTGTGCAATATCAAATAGTTAAATCTCCATTTGCTTGGCACAGATAATATTTAATCCGAGTGCATCGTCCACTAAACTGCATTCTCGTTGGCCGATGAAAACTAGAAAAGCTCGAATGCTAGGGTCTCTCGAGTATCGATCGTTATTCCAACAGACGCTCGTGCTAGTTTCGACTAGAATTCCGTCCTTACAGCAGATAAACCGAAGAAGCTTTAACTATTTACGCCAGGAAGGCTTTATCGGTCTCTAATTCCCCGGTAAATAATTTTTCCTCCTATCTTGAAATGAAAATACCCGAAGGAATACGAAAGGGGAGCAATGAGATCCAATGGTTGGCCGGCGTCGAGACGCCCGGCAGTCTGCCATCAGGAGCTTTTCGTTTTCATCTCCACTTGTTTTTATTTGCCGACGTACTGTCTCCATGTGTGCTCAGACGAGCTGACGTAATTCTCAGAGGGATTGAAAATACTGGGGATACTAACCCGCCTTTCCATCAACTCATCGGACATTGTTACTCCATTGAATCATATTCCTGGTGAAGACATTCCCTCGAGCTTGTACTTTTCCGCAGGTCATTCACCCGATGGAAAATCCCTCTGTGAAACCATCAAAATCTCCACCGAATTGCCCAATAAAAATTCTTCAAGTCTGAAATATATTCTGCACATGAGAAAAGGAATTTGCTGTTCGCCCCAGCCCTTAATCACTTTATTCTGTGGAGTCTGCAGAAAAGTTGGCAAATAAAAAGAGTCAAGGGGTTGGAAAGCTGTTTAATCTAATCGAGAAGGTGAGGAAAATTCTTCCCTCCCGATCCTTTGTCTCGGTCCTTGATATTGAGAGAGTCGGCAAGGGGCACTTTTACCCCGTCAATTGGATTAATCTCGTTTTGGCACGCTGTCACGTACTGAAAGGGGCTTTTATATCCTTGATAATCGAGGGTACGATGTGCCACTGACGTGAGGAAGATCACATCTCTAAGAGATGAAAATTCTTCTTACTCTGTGGGACGGGACGATCGATAAACCGGAATAATCGACGAATTCTTTAATTCTCGATAGCAGCATACCCCAAAAATAGAATAATATAAAAGGAGAATATCTCTGAACCTTTTTGTAATCACCTTTTTTGTAGCTCTCACATAATCCTACAAAAAAGTTCATTACTAAAAATTCCCTATCTTCGGCAGATCCAGAAATATTGATGCATTTTGTTTTGAGTAATGGTGAAATTAGTGTGATTAATAATAAGGTATAATTGTGTGGTTGATAATTAGTGGATATTTGAAATTTCAGTGATGGGAGCGACGAGTGATCGAAAGGACGATGAAACGTCTAGTGCAACATCGTTGATAACAGCATCAACGACATCAGTGCCAGTGATATCTGGTAAAACTAGAGTATCAAGTGATCTCGGGGGTAGCATTGACCTTTTGGCTGCCCTACAACTGCACAATACAACACGTCAGGGTGTTACGCAGGTACCAGGACTAGTCAGGCTCAAACCTGCGTATTATCTCCAGGGTGAGTGTGCGTTGGAAATAATAATGATTAGTCATTTGTAACAGACACGATTTTAACGATCGTTTTTTTTATACCGTTGTAATACATTTCATACTTCCCATTCACGCAATGTCTTTCGACGAAATAAAGGCAATTATCCCAAGCCCCTAGATCAGGGTTGCGTGTTACTTCAAGGGACTGTCAAGTGGCACCGGGAGCACCAAAAAAATTCTCCTTCTCCCACAATCTGAAAATTAATCTTGTGAAAAACAATTGGCAACATCGAATTGATAAATTAATAACACAATCACTAGAAGTTAAACAAATTGAAGGAATAAGTGTAACGAAGGGGTCGAAGACCTGCGAGGAATGAAAATTGGAAGATTCAAGTATTTATATTTCCGTTGTAATGAAATATGAAATATCAACACGTATTTATCCTTCCTAGTGGAGTCGATGAGTTGTTCTTCGAGACTACATGGCAATTATGTGCACAACCCTCTGGTAGTTTTCGGGAAAACAAATAAAGGTATTGACCCTGGTGATGTGCAGACGGATAAATAGGGTTGGCCCCCTTGGGCTCCTCTTGTCACCATCTTTCGCGCCTTCTGCTCTGATTTCTCCAGCACCATCACCCCTCATGCCTAAATCGCCTACTATCCTCGTGTGGTTCTCATCAAGTTCTATTGAGAATAAAATACCGGATTGTTGATTTTTACCCAATTCAGAACGTTTGATCTCTCCATTCTCCCTCTCCATGATTTATCCCCTACAGATTATTTCGAATTATTTTAGAATGATAAAGCTTCCATAAATAACGGAATAGAACTACCCCAACGGTTCAATATACAAGACCAATACAAAACAAAAATAAATAATTCTTTCTCAATCAATAATCAATTGAGAAATGGAGATCCAGGGTGAGAATGTTTGAAGAATTTCACGCTTGAGAGGATATAAATAAATAATTATGGGTGAAGGGGAAGAAACCCTTTGAAATTTCGGCCCTTGGGTACATAAAATAAGGTAAATAGATAAAATGTGTCAATTGAGCCGTGAAAAATGAAGAACGGTGTAACCTGACGGCTGGCACGCGTCCACCCTCAGTTAATTATGCATCCTCGGTTAATGATCTGTTCTTTCCACCCCTTTTCCCGTCTTCGTCACGGTGTTCGCACACAGAAGGCATTTACTACTTATCCGGAAGTGATAACGTCGTAATACTCAACCGGCAAGACAGATTATTACTGACGGTGTTCAGTTACCATTGCACTGCGTCTGAAACGAGATATATAGACAGAATATATGACTAGGGTGAAGCCGGACTGAATTTTTCATTTTTTTTTTTTTCAATCCACTCACCTTGAGGCGCGTTCCACCGAGACAGGTGCACGCGCCAAATTAAATTCACTCGGTGTAAGAAATTCGAGGAGAAATTGTAGTTTATCGCATGGTTTACCGTTGCATATCAACTTCCAGGGGGAATTCATTGGCTTCAACACTTGACACTTTTTTGCAATGAGTTTATTAATTGGGTGGAATAATTCGACCTAACACGCCCGCGTTTTTAGAAAATTATTCTCTGTACTGGAATATGACGGAATTTTTCAACGTCAGATCAGTATCCACTAGCATCTATTGATGAGAATATGACAGTATATAATAATAATTAATCATGTGCATTTGACATTTTAATTATTTCAATTATTATATTGAAACGTTGAGTCATTATTTTCATTCAAATCAGACTAGAGAGTTTTATATGTATCATTTAATTAATTTCAATAAAATTTTAGATATATACTCGAGTATATAGGTCATATATATATAATATATTCATTACATCAATATAATAACGCAAAACGCGCAAAACGAATTTCAAAAAATGATAAATTCCATTTTTTCAAAGGAGAGAGTAAAATAATGAATTTTGTATTATTCGGTTTATATTTGGATTAAGATAATTCACTATAATGATCGCTTTAACTGAAATGCTCCAGGTGAGGAGAGAGATCTTCAGTTAAGTCAGACGAGCTTTGAGCGTGCAGCATCACTACTTCGGCGGGTTCCGGAGTTCACTGTAGCTGCAGCACTGCGACAAGAGGAAGCTAATTCCGGTACAATCGTAGCCTTCTCCCATGGTAATAATAGGTACGATTTCTCCCCTAAGAATGTCCTCATCACGAAGAAAATCCCTAGGAAAATGCCTGAGCAAAACGATGTTCCAGGTATTTGGAGCTGCAGAGCAGCGGCCGAAAAGACGAGCTCCGTCTTCATTACGTATCCCGACGTGACGGTACAGTTCACGTCGAGTCATTTCCATTTCGTCTTGCTGACGGTGCGTGGCACAGGGTTGCCCTCAGTATCAGTGGCTCGCAGGTCGAGCTACTCGTCGATTGTCATCCACTTTACAGACGTCTACTCAGACCTGGACCACCAGACACTAATTTTACTCTGCCACAACTTCAGCTCTGGGTTGGCCAGAGAAATGCCAAGCATTTTCTATTCAAGGTGATTTATCTATTCCGAATCAATCAGTCAATTATATTGGCTAGGTGCAAGCCTAGTGTTCTGAAAGTTCAATAAGAAGTAGGTTGGATTCCCCGTTGAATCGAAAATCAGTCATTCATCGCCATGACTCAGCATGGGTGAACCCCATTAATGCCCTGAACCCTCGACACTTCCTGCATCATAAGGGAGGAAATGGCTCCTGGCTAATGGCCCGTCGAATCATTTCCATTGTGTCATTACAATCGCACGCTTTCCTCTTTGAAATGCACTTATCCCCTCGAGTGCGAGCATCTTTTTATTCATATTCTTTATGTCCTGACAATAGGGTGCACTCCAAGACGTCAAGCTAATTCCAGGCGCCCATGGATATCTCTCGCAGTGCCCCCAGCTCGACACTTCCTGTCCAACCTGCGGACAGTTCTCAATTCTTCAGAATACTGTTGAACAACTCATGCACAATTTAAACGAATTGACTCGTAGGGTAAATATTTATCAACGAATTCAATCGATCTGAGTATCACAGACGTATTTCCTTTTAGCTAGCTGCTGCAGAGGGTAGAATAAGCAAAGTCGAGGAGTGTGAGTGCCAAAAATCGTGCAGAGAGAATGGTACGGTGCATGATGATGGGGCCACATGGGAAAAAGGCTGTCAATTGTGTTCTTGCGTTCATGGGGAGATTGAGTGCAGACCAATACCCTGTGCTCCAGTCACATGCAAACATCCGGTTAAAGCTGAGGGGCAGTGTTGTCCGGTTTGTCTCAGTACGTTTCACGCATTTATTCCACTTGTATTGGTTCATTCGAAATTATGGCTGATTGCAATTGAAATTATCGAATTGATTGATCCTTCAGAACAATGCTACACCCACGGTGTCATTCTTGATCATGGGGAGAAGCTGTCACCGAAACAATGCCTCGAATGCGTGTGTATCGACGGGGCCTCCAAGTGCCTCCAGACCAGGGCAAAATGTCCACCATTACCTTGTTCACCCAGTGAGCAAATCAGTGTGGCTGACGAGTGCTGCAAATTCTGTCCAGGTACGACTGATCAATTGACCAGGAAATATTTTTTAAAACCTTGCTATCGCACTCAAAAATCCACTTCTGAAATCATTCATATTCTAATCAAACTAATCAACTAAATCACAGGGATCGCCATTGATTATTCACTGAATAACCAATTCTGAAGTGTAATTAGAATCTATTAATGAAAAATTCATGGTGATCTCTTCCGAAATTCCAATCGTAACTAATAATGCTGATTAATCCCCTTCAAACGTCATGGATTAACACAATAACCAGGGGTCGACTATTGCGCTAAGGGCCACAAATGTCATACAAATGCCTCTTGCCTGAATCTCCAGACGACCTACGCCTGCCACTGCAATCTCGGCTTCCAAGGGGACGGCCAAAACTGTCATGGTACTAAAAAAACTACTTATCAAAAGATGAAGCTAAAACTAGCCCAACTTTTTCGAATGGAAATGTACAAATTCTTATGTAATTATGTGTAATATAATTGTACGTAATTGTTCGACTGTCAAGGTTTACAGAATTATTCAACTCTCCACTGACTTCCCACTACCGGACATTTTGCTAGTCTCAGCTTCATTGCTACCCGTAAAAGCAACCCCCAATCCTGTAAATAATACAATAACCGAATCGATGAATTTTTTATCAGATGTTGATGAATGCAAACAGCAGGGAGGCTCTGAGGGCCATCACTGCAATGCTAATACCCAATGTGTTAACGTCGTTGGATCGTACACGTGTGAGTGTCTTCCTGGGTATCACAGGGTGGACAAATTCAACTGCGCTGAGTTGGACGAATGCGCTACTGGGCAGCACTCATGCTCAGAGCATGCTACATGTGTCAATACTGCTGGAAGTTACTACTGCGTTTGTAAGGAGGGATACACAGGGGATGGATACACTTGCAAACGTAAACATCCAATAATTTCCTTTTGATTAACCCGAAGCATTCAATATAATTCATCGAAGCGAACACTAGCCCAGAATTATCAAACGCTCCATTGAATTAATTGTCAAATTCCAATTGTCAAATATTCCAGACATTCCCTCTTACGAAATAAACCTGTTCTTGTTATTCGTTGAATTTTGCGTTGACACGGTTGATTAACATGTCCATTGAAATTTAAAGCTGTGTGCAATGAGACCTGTCAAAATGGGGGTGAGTGCATAGCGCCTGGCAGATGCTCCTGTCGTCGTGGATACATTGGCAACAGCTGTGAGCTAGATCTGGACGAGTGTGCCAGTGATCTTCACAGATGTCACCATTCATCGACGTGCTACAACATGCCAGGATGGTACTACTGTCGTTGCAAACCCGGATACAGGAGTGCATTGCACGACAGCAGCCAGGGCACCCAGTGCCTGGACATTGACGAATGCAATGATCAGACTCTGGAGAGGAGACACACCTGTCATCCAACTGCCAGATGCATCAATACGGATGGGGGATACGAGTGCGCTTGTCCCAATGAAGATCCCATTCAAGAGTGCAGACTCAGTGAGTCATCAATTTTTCTTTTAATTCCAATCGTTTCTTCTCTCTTTAATTCATGTTCTCTTTTTTCTGTTTAGGCTGCTGGTTCGAGGATAGGGAAGTACCCAATGGAGATACCCTTGCTCCTACTGGCAATCCCTGCAGGCAGTGCACATGCAAAGATGGTGTCATCAGTTGTAGAGATCCCATTTGTGACTGCAGTTTACCCACCAGCAGAAGGGACAAATGCTGTCCGCAGTGTGATCCTGCTGCATCATGCAGACATCAGGAGCTTCATCATCTTATTTTTAGAAGCGGGGAGAGATGGATTTATCAGTGTCAAACGTGCGAGTGCCTGGTATGCAATGATTAGTCTTTGAAGAAATAATTGTTCATTGTTTCAGAAAATTTTTTTCGATGATTGCAATTGCCTAATTGTGGATTCGTGTGAATATTTTATGGAGGCGATCAGAGTCGTGATTTAATTTCAGTATTGGGAAAATTATTTCCTCCATGGAGAGATGCAATTCATTTTGTTATTAATCGTTTTTGGGAGCTGTGGTTTGTTCTGGAGCTTTAATCTTTCTTATTCTGTCCGTGTTTACATTCGATTGAAACCCATTAACACTCGATTCCACATCAGAGTTATCCCACTGACTCATCGATATCGCGACACAGACCATAATGCCGTTATAGGACAAGTTTTACACAACTCTCGACGCGCCATGTATTTCCATAAATGCCCATCGTAGATGTAACAGGAGCCAGTGTAAAACTTGATCCGTTAACTTTTTCCGCCCATTTGTTTTTCAAGTTTTTATTTTACCCTCGGGGGTACCCTCAGGGGTATAAACAATGCTGAGTTATCAAAAATCAAATGAAACTCAAATAAAACTCAAATGAAAAGTGGCCGGTGAAACTTTTCCGTATACAGAATTCCGTTATAGTTGCACTTCTCCTCAATTTCTTCTTCCCAATATCTTTCGGTCCCCCGAAATAAAATCGAGAAATATATATTCTTTCGTATTCGAATTTGCTGTGAAAAAATTCAGCCTACAATCGCAACGAGCGAGTGGGGGTAGTTGCATATAATCGGATTCTTTGAATTCGCTTCCCCTAGGGCCCCATGCGTGGGACTATAACGGGAGTTTATTGTATTCTATGTATTTTATTCTGGGGTCACAAAATAAAGTAATTCTCCTCTGAATGTTTTGTCAAGTAGAAGAAATATCAAATTTTGTCAGTCAATTAGAATTCTGAAAATTCAACATTTTAGACATTCGCCAAAATATTAATTTCAGTATGGAGAGATAGACTGTTGGCAAATGGAATGCCCCCCTGTGAGCTGTCCAAATCCAGTAACCGAGGATGGGGATTGTTGTCCACGTTGTGAGGATGATCCGTGTGCACGGGAAATTCACACGAATATTACCGCTATCGCAGCGTCGAGTCATCCACGACCCTGCAGTTATGCTGGTATTATTCATGACAGTGGCAGCTCTTGGCAGGATCCGCATGACAAATGCACGACCTGCGAGTGCAAGGTAAGGGGGCCACGAGTCAACTTACCGAAACGTATTCATTATCATTTTATACTTACATTGTCGCTTAATCCATGAATTGCGATACCGGAAAATAAAATCAGGGGGTGATCGCGATAGTTCCAGTATTGATAGACCAGTCATGAATATGGATACATATTTCAATAGATATTTACGCTCTTGTCACTTAATACATAATTCGTTATGGTGTGATAATCTGATGTGAATAAGGTCAGTAAACGGAGTGTATAGCGCCTTCGCTTTGACCAGAAATCCAAAGAACATCGAAAAATCCTGCCAAATGCTAACAAATATCGTGCAGTACTGTTGTGCCCAAAAAAATTTGCATTATATTTTTGTAATCATTTCATAAAAGTTCAATTTTTAATTCACATTCACAAATTAACAGTAAAAGATGATTTTTTAATTATGTAAATCAGATCAAAATTTGGATCCATGAATTCTCAACTAAAAAAAAACAGAAAATGTCTGCAAAAAGATTTTTTTTAAATGGCTCACTTCGTAGGAAGAAGATGAAACGCATTGAGATTATTTTTAAGGACATCAATAATTTTAATAATATATGTAAAAATGCGAGATGGAGGCGTCGCCATCTTGGAGACTTCTTGGGTAGTCAAGATGGCGGCTCTGTCAGCTGCCTTACACTATCGAACATTTAAATATAAATATTTTATGATGATTAACCGCAGGAAGGATTTCCTAACAGTACTGTACAGTATATCGATTTGCATTTAGTACTCCACGATTTTGCCCTGAATATGCAATTGTTTTTTATTATAAAAACGCGATGCTAAGTGACTAATTAGCCGTAATGCTTCGAACAGAACAGACATACCACAACAACAAGACATCGACACGATTGACTTTAACAAGCATTATTTATTTAAATTGGAAGATGATTTTTTTTTGCAACACGAAAACATAGTTTGATGAATTGATTTTGAATTAGTGAAATATCGGTAGGTAATCCTCGTTCGTACGATACAGACTTCTGTTTCACTCAATACCTGATTTCATTAACTTCTTCCTCATCTAAATGTTTAACTCAAGACTGTGGCTATGCGCTGGAGCATTAATTTCTAATAATTTATTGAACTGATAACTGCTAGTTGATTATTTAACATAATATTTTAACATTTAAGTCGCTGTAAAATGCGATGCATAGTATCCTGACAGGGGCGTTCCCAAGCTGTAGCAATATCAGTGTTCTTTTCATTTGAATTTTGATGGATATTATTTGATCAAAGTGGCATCATAGTTTTATAATTATCCATGTCATTCGTTAATTCGATACAGCAATTAATATGAAAAGAATGAACACTAGTTATGCGGAAGTTCGAGCGATCGATGCCTGATAAAATAACTGCTGGCTTGCTTTTTGAAGCTTTCATCGTCTACCAATTAACATCGAATAATTATTTAATCAATTCAGATATCACGATCGCACGTGCTTTCGGGTCGGCCCTGCATGGATAATTAGTGCTAATTATTTTTATTTTAACGAACTCGATCGAACATTTTCCTCTCCCTCACCTGTAGACTATTGATTCGTAGATAATCAATAAATAAATCAATTAGTAAAGTGAAATGGGCCTTTCAACCATCAAATTCCTCTATTCAATTGAGTACATAAGAGTAAAAACAAGTTACAAATTATCCAAGTAATCTCAATTACATTTTATAGATTATTCATTTTCCTCGATTACAAAAAAACTCACAAAGCGCATGAATAAAAGGAAGACGATTCCAGAGTCCATTTCGCTTGACTGTAATAATGATTAACAATAATGAATAATCATAATTAGAGACTTTAGTAGTTAGTTCGATTGACTGATGATCATTGACAAATTAGCGTACATTAGAAAATTGATAATTAATTGATAGTAAAATGTTCGAACGGGTTCGTGCAAACACATCATCCTGAATATGCTAACAATAAATAAAACCCCGTGATAACTAACCGATTAACGATCCTAACAATGGGTATCCTTGCAGGTGCCGTACTGCGCCCAATTGGTGAGCAATAGCGCGTGTTGTGTGCATCGGTAATCACATCACTTCTACCTCACCTATATCTTCTAAAACCTGCCTCTTTATTTTTATTTACTTTCAACATTAGATCAGCTACTTGAGCTCAATTTTGCAGGCCTGCTTGTCTCATCCGTCCCATTTCAAAGCTCTCTTATAATTTTCCTCATTTCTTCTCTGACTCGTAATTCATCGACAATATTAATTCACCCTCAATTACCTCTGCTCGTCGCACGGAATTATAACTCCATTTAAATAATTACAACTGTCTCAAGAAGTTTGAAGAATGTTTTAAAGATAAATCGATGTAAATTTTGTAATTGAGAAAAAAGGGAAGCCCTGGGTCTAATTTGCACGCTCTGAATGGTGGCATGATCGTCTCTCCTCATTTATATCATTTGATAATTGCCTGTACTTAGCACGCTAAATCACCATTATTTATATTCTCTTTACAATAACTCTAATACGAAGATATGAACCGTTGGGAGAAATAAAACGCACGAGGAGACGCCTACATATTCGCATTATTTTCTTGCACAGTTTATTACACTCCATTTTTTTATTTGAGTTTCATTGATATTCTTCTGGGTTTTTTTATTGTCAAACACTCGGGTCTTTTTTGCACACTCCCTACGTCTGCATACATGAAACAATATTAGAAGCACACAGGCGCTCTCAATCCCTACTATGATGACAAAACTTTGAGGGAAAATCCACAGATCACTGTTTTTTATGAAATATCTCAACTCCTAATGAATAATTTCACTCAAGTATTGTCATCACGTAGACTAGTTTAGCTATTCACGGTAAGATCCAATACATACTATGAGAATTCATTGTTTTGTTCTGCCTCCCCCCCCCCCCCAAATTTTCAAATTTTTACTCGTTATGTCTAGCATGTATCTGTAATTTTGTTTACTGAAAATCTCTACTGAAAATTTAACCCTGATGATTGCTTGAGTAACGAGAATCAGCAACAGAACGGGATTGCCGATTGACCCTGGAGAGGAATCAAGAGGGATTGTGACGTTGATTCCATATTAAAGTAAAACAAGACAAATAATCCACGGGAGGTGACAATCGATCAATTGAATATTATCAACTGACGAAACAATGAATCACATAATATGTGTTTTAGTCATGCCTATTGACAATTCATCTGTCTGAGCGAAGGTCAATTTTGTCCAATTCTATTCAATAATCAGGTTCAGCTGCATAATGGTATAAAAGGCAAATTATGCTCGACATTGATTTTCAAGTAATTTCAAAGGCACAATTACAATCATGGAATACCCGTTAATTATTTAAATGGATGTATGTTTATTTGAATTGACAAAATTCTCCTTGGAGCAGAGAAACGTGAGTTGGAGTGTTGATACTCTGGGGACAAAACTGACTAACGACTGTTTAACTTGCCCCGTAGGACGGTCAATTATGCTGCAGCTACGATTATGGCTGTGCTGGCGATTTGGGGAATGGGAATCCCTCATTCCCTCCTAGAAAGTCTGATACTACTCTTGTGCTACATAGCACAAACACTCCGAGCGCGTATATCGGTGCATCGAAAACAGCAGTATCAACGATCGTACCAATCGACGATAATAACCAGCGATTATCAACGAGAGGCATTAGAGCCAGTGATAACTCACAAACACCAACGAGAATCATCAAATCAACAGATACACCATCAACAGCATCACCAAAGACATTCAAATCATCCGAGAAATACAACGATCAGTCAATTGGAATCGGTAAATTACGTGGTATCACCGAGAATTTCATTTCATTCCCAAAGACACAGCCATTGCGTCGCAATTATGTGGCCACTGCATCGAGCCAATCACCACGGAGGAATAATATTGTAATTGGCAAACGCAGCAACATTAATGCTGGTAGATCCGGTTATATTGCTGCAACACGACCTGTTGGTAGCAGTGATGCTACCTGAGGTGATGATCAAAGCTGCTGCGTCCAAGCGCTGACGAATTAACTAAATACTAATATCGACGAATTACGAGTTACAAACGGGTCAAGTCATTCCACTTGGGGGGCTAGAGGCTGCAACGCAAGTGCCTCAATGGCGATGGGAGAGAGAATAATTATTAATAATTATGAAATATTAATTTGTTCACGATTTTTCCATGACAAGGAGAATCGTTTTCACTTTTTTCCTTCGACGTGGAAATTTTATTTTCCCTCTATTCATTCTTTATTGTCAGTCTTTATCTCCTTCCCTCGACCCCCTTATTTTTTTTTTTGTAATTTTGTATTGTTTTGCCGGTAGATGAATAACGGAGAGGCATTATATTATTGTAGAGGACAATGTGTCGTGCGATGGTTGTAATCCAGTTTTCACGGGGAAGGGAATTATCACTGGGTGACCATTTAATTACTGGATGATTCGTCATTTTATAGGGAACACAATTTGTCGTATGATTCGTAAGCTCAGAGTTGAATTTATTTAGGGATTTTTAGAGCAATAGTGGTGGATTGAGTGCACGATTTATCATGTGTAATCGAGGATTTTTCTCATGTTTGTAATTGCATACAACGATGAATAGTGCTTGAACCGATTGTCCCAGGAATTGATGAGGGGGTGAAATTTTTCTTTCTTTTTCAGAGGAAAATACTAGTTGGAATATGAATTTTTTGTCCCGCCCGATGAACGCGCTGGACTCGCTCGATCGGTTTTTTCCTCGGTCATTCATCCTGGAGTTCCCCGCTCAACCTAAAGGAAATTAATTAAGGTACTTCCTCAGTTCTTGCCCAAAACGATCGACTGCGTAAATTCTTATAAAGAAATATTGAAAATGTCATTTGTACAGAGTCTTATGAGAGTTCTTTTCCAAGTGACGAATAATGCGCATCATACAGAAATATATCTCTTCACTTTTATTATTTAGCTCTATTCTCCTCAATTTAGTTCTCAAATTTTTTCTGGAACGTCTAATTTTTAACTAATACCGCCCCCGCCCCCGCCCCT